GTGTTCTTGATCTGGCCAACTGTTGTGAAGGGTGTTTTCTTCACCAGGGAAAGAATTCTTCGCTCATCCACCACAGTTGTTTTCCGTGGTCTTCTGGTGTTGCTGAGCTCACCGGTGAGTTCCTTCTTTTTAAGAATGTTCCAAACAGTTGTTTTGGCCACGCCTAATGTTTTTGCTATCTCTCTGATGGGTTTATTTTGTTTTTTCAGCCTAATGATGGCTTGCTTCACTGATAGTGACAGCTCTTTGAATCACATCTTGAGAGTTGACAGCAACAGATTCCAAATGCAAATAGCACACTTGAAATGAACTCTGGACCTTTTATCTGCTCATTGTAATTGGGATAATGAGGGGAATAACACACACCTGGCCATGGAACAGCTGAGAAGCCAATTGTCCCATTACTTTTGGTCCCTTATCAAGTGAGAGGCACATATGCAAACTGTTGTAATTCCTACACCGTTCACCTGATTTGGATGTAAATACCCTCAAATTAAAGCTGACAGTCTGCAGTTAAAGCACATCTTGTTCGTTTCATTTCAAATCCATTGTGGTGGTGTATAGAGCCAAAAATGTTAGAATTGTGTCGATGTCCCAATATTTATGGACCTGACTGTATATATTGCCACCTAACTATGCAGTCCCGCAGGGATGCAGGACCATGTCATGTTGCTCTACAGCTACGCTGATCGCCGCCATCATTATTATAAAAATAAAGCCAGTATCTATATCACTATTTGTAAATGCTTTAACTTTCTCGTAAACCAATTAATTTGCACGCATTGGGATTTTTTTTTTAGCAAAGACTGTCACAGAATATATTTTCGCCTACATTTATGACAAAATTAGATTTTTACTCTACATGTTTAATAACAGAAAGTCCAAAATATGTTTTATTTTCTCAAAATTGTGTCTTTTTTTTATAGCGCATAAAAAAAAAACAAAAACGCACAGGCAATCAAATACCACCGAAAGAAAGCTAAATTTGTGTGAAAAAAGGACGTAAATTTAATTTGGGTGCAGCATTGCATGACCATGAAATTGTCAGTTAAAGTAACAGCGCTGTAACGCAAACCACTTCTTTAACTGCTTCCTGACTGCCCTATAACAGAAATACTGTTACAGGGTGGCACAGGTGCACAAAATCATGTATATATATGTCATTCGCGCTCCCGTGGTTTTCACGCCCCTCCCAGATAGCGTCAGATTGCCCGTCAGTACACCAGTAATCACATTTAACCCCTTGATTGCCAGGAACACGCTTATGCACAATAAACCTCCATTGCTAGTATAGTGTCTGAATGGATCAATATCTTGGATCAGATCAGCACTAGCGTTCACATTAGTATAGTGTCCCCAAAACACAGCATTAGTGGGATCGGCACGTGCCAGCACCTGTGTTTAGCCCCTACGCTTACCCCCCCCCCTTCTCCCCCAGCAAGTGCAGTGTCAGTAGGTCACTGTCACTTGATACATTGCACACAAAACCGCAGTGTTCGCAGAATCAGGCCTGATCTCTGCTGGCACTTGCCGGTAAATTTTGATGACTCTCATATGCAGCAGAGTGCCAGTACTAGTGCCACGCTGCCTTTTGGTGAACTGGTGAGCACCAGCAGCCTAGTACATCCTGGTCTTTCACATACTAGCACTGCAGAATCACTTGATGGGGCAAGTCCCATAAGTGTAGTACAAGATGGTGCGGTGGCGAGCACAAGTATTGTTCCACAATCACCAAGAATTTGCACACAGGCCCGTAAGGCCCTTAGTATCCTTCTGGATGTGCTTGCAAATCCCGATTGGCAGCCCACAAATTGTGCAGCACCCATACTTCCCCCATTCACTGCCTAACCTGGATTTCTGAGCTCTTAGTATTCCCCCCAGCCCGTGCCCCCTCCCCTGACTTCTCCATCAAGATCAATAACACAATCATCAGTCCCTCCCCTCATGCCAGGGTACTAGGTGTAATCCTAGACTCCCATCTGTCCTTTCAGCCCCAAATCCAATCACTGTCCAAATCTTGTAGACTTCACCTCCGCAACATTTCCAAGATACGCTCGTTCCTAACCTCGGTAACCACTAAGCAACTTATTCACTCCCTTGTTATATCTCGCTTTGACTATTGTGAATCCCTCCTCATTGGCCTACCGAATTGCAGGCTATCCCCTCTTCAGTCTATCATGAATGCTGCTGCCAAACATATCCACCTTACTAACCGTTCTGTATCTGCCACCCCTCTCTGCCAATCCCTCCACTGGCTTTCCATTGCCCAACGGATAAAATTCAAAACATTAACAATAACGTATAAAGCCATTTATAACTCTGCCTCAAATTACATCAACAATCTTGTCTCTAAATATCACCCAAACCGTACTCTCCGCTCCTCGCAAGACCTCCTGCTCTCTAGCTCCCTTGTCTCCTCCTCCCATGCTCATCTCCAGAACTTTTCCAGAGCTACCCCCATCATCTGGAACTCTCTACCCCAATTCATCAGACTATCGCCTACTCTGCTCACTTTTAGGCGATCTCTGAAAACCTATCTCTGCAGGGAAGCCTATCCTGCCTATCTTCTACTCTTTCAACCAGTCCATCCCCCACAGTTACTACCTTTTGTACCACTAGCCCCTCCCTCCTAGATTATAAGCTCCAAAAAACAGGGCCCACCTTTCCCTCTTGTATTGAACTGTATTGTTGCTGTATTGTCTCCGTTATATTGTAAAGTGCTGAGCAAACTGTTGGCGCTATATAAATCCTGTATAATAATACTTCGGGTGGAAACAGCAAATTTAACTACTCCCCTTAATTTTTTGGAGCGGTTTTTCATGGAAGATCTGTATGTATTGATTGTGGATCAAAGCAATTTATATGCACAATTTATCACCGCCAACCCAAATTTAAACCTTGCCAGACCATTCGCATGGAAACCCATTACGGTTTCCGAATTTACATTTTTTTTGGGGCCTAACCCTCAACATGGGCATTACTAAAAAAAATTTATTGCAGTTGTATTGGTCCACAGACCCGATTCATCATATGCCAGGCATAGATATGAGAGTATAATGTGTTTGATGTATTTTAACAACACACTCTGTTGTCCTCGGGGGTGATCTGGAATTTGACAGGTTCCAAGAAATTCAGCCCCTCGTAAATCACCTTAACCAAAAATTTGCAGATGTCTACACTATCTAGCAAAAAAATCTGTGTTGATGAGTCCCTCATTAATTTTTTCTGGCCGCCTTGCATTCAAACAATTTCTCCCCAGCAAGCGAGCTAGATATGGGGTCAAGATGTATAAGACCTGTGAGAGCGCAACAGGCTATACATATAAGTTTCGAATTTATGAGGGAAAAGATGGAGCCCCCCGCATGCCCACAGTACATGAGGAGTAGTGGCAAGATAGTTTGGGACTTGGGAGTCATCCTTTTTCCATATGGAGTACCACTTATACAAGGACAATTTTTATTCAAGCGTGCCACTATTTAGACATTTGTACAATCTTTGAATTGGCGCATGTGGCACCGTGCGACGTAATGTGTGCCCACCATTAGAAGTGAATGGATGCAGGACGGTATATTCTAATGGTGGGCATACCACACGTTTTTTCTGGCAAATTTCTTCTCTTTTTTTCATTCAGCCCACAGGCTGCATAAAAAAAGAACATAGCATATATACCCAACAAGGACCAGCAACGTACTGGTACATCCCTGGACTTTGAATGGATGGTTATACCAGGATGATGCCTACAGCTGCAGGCATCATCCTGGTATCGTTTTTTTCAGCTGGCGATCAGCTTTCATGTAAAAGCAATCCTAGTGGCTAATTAGCTGCAGGATTGCTTTTACAAGCAGTGGGAGACGATGCCCTTCAGGCTTTAAAGGGCTTTTTCCTCATTACAGTTCTGACTGCTTATCACAGTTTCGGAGGCCCTGAAATGCCAGTATAGCACCAAACCCCCCCCCCCCCAAATGACCCCTTTTTGGAAAGTAGACACCCCAAGGAATTTGATAAGAAGCATGGTGAGTATTTTTCATATCTCGTTTGTTGCCACAAGTTTTTGGAAAATGAAGAAAGAAAACAAAACATGTTTTTTTTCTTTTTTTTTATATTTGAAAACATTTTGAGAAAAAACGAGATCTGCAAAATACTCACCATGACTCTTAAATTCCTTGGGGTTTCTACTTTCCAAAAAGGGGTCATTTGCGGGGGGGTTTGGTGCTATCTTGGCATTTCATGGCCTCCAAAATTGTGATAGGTAGTGAGGAAGTGAAATGAGGAAGTTACGCACTTTCGGGCTTTCAAAGTGGTCATTGGATTTCAGGCTCCTGTATGTGGCTAGGCTCCCCAAAAGACTCACACATGTTGTATCCCTATACTTGGTAGAAGTAGAAGATTGTATTATTGGGTGTAATTCCAGATATACCCATGGCTTGTGTGAGAAATATATCATTTAAATGAGAACTTTGTGCAAAAAAAAACAAAACAAAATGTTTTGTCATTTTCCAAAAACTTGTGAAAAAAAAAAAAAATCTTCCATGGACTCAATATGCCTCTCAGCAGATACCTTAGGGCAGTGATGGCGAACCTATGGCACGCGTGCCAGAGCTGGCACGCAGAGCCATCTCAGTGGGCACGCCAGGAAGAAGAGGAAGATGAGCGCACACGGACCACGCACACTGACCGGCCATCCAGATCTCGTCCACACTGGACCCCCATCAAACTACATCTCCCACAGGTCTCTGGGGCCAGGGTGGGTGTGGATGAGAGGAAACGGCTCCTATGCGGATCTGGCACCAGGGGTGATGTAGCCGGGGATGGGCGTGGAAGAGAGGAAGAGGCTCCCACACTGCTCCGGGGCCAGGGGCGATGTGTTCAGCGTGGATGGGAATGAGCTGCTGGGTTGGAAGCCACACCGACACTGCCAGAGGTGAGATTAACTGCTTGCTGTGTCATCTATCAGTGCCCAGAAGTGTCACCCATCAGTGCCCAGCAGTGTCGCCTGTCAGTGCTGCCCAGCAGTGCCACCTGTCACTGCTGCCCAGCAGTGCACCTATCAGTGCCCAGCAGTGTCGCCCACCAGTGCTGCCCATCAGTGCCACCCATCAATGATGCCCAGCAGTGCCGCCGATCAGTGCCGTCTGTCAGTGCCTCCAGTTGGTGCTATCAGTCAGTGCCGCTTATCAGTGCCCATCATTGCTGCATATCAGTGCATCATCAGTGCCTCCTCATCAATGCCCACCAGTGCCGCCTCATCAGTGCTACCTATCTGTGCCGCCTCATCAATACCCATCAGTGCTGCCTATTAGTGCAGCCTCACCAACACACATCAAAGAAGAAATATTACCTGTTTGCAAAATTGTATAATAGAAGCAAAGAAAACCTTTTTATGTTTTTAATTTTTTGCTCTTTTTTCATTTATAGTGCAAAAAATAAAACACCCAGTGGTGATTAAATACCACCAAAAAAAGCTCTATTTGTGTGAAAAAAATGAGTGTTGCATGACCGCAGAATTGTCATTGTCAAGTGCAACAACACTGAAAGCTGAAAATTGGTCTGGGCAGGAAGGGGGTAGAAGTGCCCGGTAGGCAAGTGGTTAATTGCAGTGTTGGCACTTTGAAATAAAAAAGTTGGTTTTGTGTTGCAGTTTTGGGCACTCGGGCTCAAAAAGGTTCGCCATCACTGCCTTAGGGTGTCTACTTTCTGAAAAGGAGTCAGATTGTAGATGCTATCAGAGATACTTTCACACAAAGCAATCAATATACACTTATTGGGATTTTTTTTTTTTTACCAAAAACATGTAGCAAAATACATTTTGGCCTAAATTTATGACTAACTTTGAGTCTACTTTATTTTATAGCCGAAAGTAAAAAATATTGTTTTTTTTCCAAATTTTCAGCCTTTTTTTTGTCTATAGTGCGAAAAATAAAAAGCGCACAGGTGATCAAATACCACTGAAAGAAAGCTCTATTTGTGTGAAAAAAGGATGTAAATGTTTGGGTACAACATTGCATGACCACGCAATAATCAGCTGATATAGTGAAGCGCCGAATACCAAAAAGAGGCCTGGTCATTAAGGGGGTAAATCCTCTGGATGGCAAGTGGTTAAATATTTAATTCTCCCTCCTCTAGGTTTTCTGTTACTGTCTGTGACTGCTATCTTAAACTAATTGATCAGAGAATGTGGCCATGCTATAAGAGATGACTTGAAACATATTCAATGGGGTCACAGACAAGAACACATTTATAGTACAGCAAGGAAGGAGTTGAACCTCTTATGGCTGTTCCTGTGCCAGAGACAGGATTTGAGGGGAAGTCTCCCTCCAGTGTGGTCACAGAAACAGGAAGTCTCACTCCTGAGGGGTCACTAAAGAATGTTCTAGGTAGCAGCAGTTGTGGTAACTAAACACTGTTTAGCATGGGTTGGCATGTATGGTGGCATGGTATAAATTGCCAGGGTCTCCTTGACCCTACAATAGCTGTTTTGTGCTATATCACTTACATTTTAAAGCAGTTCTCAACATTTTACCCCACAGGAACCCCTAAAATAATTTTCGGGTCTCAGGGTAACCCTTACTAAAACCCATTAATTGGGAGTCATTGAGAAAAATGTCCACCTTACTGTGGTGGTCAGTAGGACAATGTCACCCCCCCCCCCGCATGTTCCATCCCTGTACTCTCTCTGCACATATGTTCCATCCCTGTACTCTCCGTGCCCACGTTCCATTTCTGTACTTTCCGTGCACACATGTTCCATCTCTGTAGTCTCTCTGCACACATGGTCCAATGCTGTACTCCCTCTGTACACATGGTCCATCCCTGTTGCTGCCAGGGAGGAACCTGGGCCTGTGGATAATAGTTGACCCCTCAATTGCCAGACAGTTAAGGTAATCAGTGGGTACCTTTAGTAGTACAATGTAAAGGTGTCTGGCAACTGAGTGATTAACTGTTAGCCACAGGCTCAGATCCCTCCCCAGAAGCTATGTGGTTAAATCTGTGTAGAAGCTCAATTCCCTCCCCTGTTCTCCTCTACTTATACAGAGTGGCCATAAAATCCCTTATCTCTCCAGGGGATTAGCACAGTTAATAGTGATGACTGCTGTATGTCTTACTGCTGGGCTGTCACAGTCCCTTCTGAATCCCCAGTAAAATCCTTTACCCCAGCCTGCCTATGTTGTTGTCAGGCATGTACGGAGTTAAATGCTTTCAGATCCAGGCTTGCTGGAAGCTGTTAATATTGGATGGGAGGAGGAGCACACTGCCACTGTGGGCAGTTCAGACTAGGAGCCACAGACTGGTCCACCCACTGCAGCCAGCAGGAATCGCATCACTGCTCCCTGACATGACAACTAAATAAGGGATGTGCCAAGACCAGTAGCTGAGGGAATGGGAGGCATCGCAGCCACTGCTCTTACAAACAGGAAGACACAGGGGATTAACCCCATGATTTAAAAAAATGCAGATGCTATTACTCAAACTACAGAGTCAACCAAGATAGACTACGTATTCTAGGAAGGTAGGAAAGCAGCAATAAATCTATGTAAAGAGGTTTTTGCCTGCTTTAGTTTTCCTAGGCAATTATTTCAAAATTGATCACTTAAAAACACACAACTTGCTGGATCCAAAGCAACATGGCTTTACTAAGGGCAGATCATATCAGACTAATCTGATCTGATTTTTGACTATATTACCAATGTTTTGGACCAGGGAGGTGCTGTGGACATAGCATATCTTGATTTCAGCAAGGCATTTGATACAGTTCCACATAAAAGTTGTACAAGCTAGGACTTAGCCTTTGGGTGGTTCAGTGGATATGCAGCCGGCTGAAGGATAGATACCAGAGTGTGGTTGTAAATAGGGTTCACTCAGAAAAGAGACCAGTCGCTAGTGGTATACCACAAGGCTCTGTACTAGGTCCTGTTCTATTGAATCTATATGTGATATAACTAAGGGTTTGTTGTGTAAAGTATTTTTGATGATGACACAAAAGGTGTGTAATAGGGTTGACATCCCTGGAGGTGTATGTAACATGGAACATGATTTGGCATTGCTGGAAGATTGGTCAAAAAAGTGGAAATTGCAGTTCAATGATTCTAAATGTAAAATAATACACTAAGGGAAAAAGAATCCCTTAAGAGAGTACAACATTGGGGGTACATTGTTGGCCAGCTCTACAGATGAAAAGGACTAGGGGGGGTACTTATTTCAGATGATTGCAAAATGAACAAACAGTGTGACCAGGCAGTGGGGAAAGCAATAGAATTCTAGGGTGCATCACTAGAGGGGTCACCAGCAGGAGGAAGGAGGTCCTGATTCCCCTATATAGAGATCTTTAGTTAGACTTCATTTAGAATACTGTGTGCAGTTCTGGAGACCTCACTTACAAAAGATTGATAAAATAGAATGAGTCCAGAGACGAGTAACAAAAATGGTGAAAGGTTTGGGGGATAAAACCTATCAAGAGTGACTTCAGGAACTTAACATGTACAGTCTGGTGGAAAGAAAGGAAAGGGGAAACATGATTGAAACCTTTAAATACATCAAGGGGGCGAATAAGGTTCAGGAGGCCAGTATTTTCAACATGAAACCAAAATCAAGAACATGGGGACATGACCTTAAACAAACTGGAGGAAAGTTTAAAACTAATCTGAGAAAGTACTATTTTACTGAAAGAGTGGTTGATGCTTGGAATAAACTTCCAGCTGAGGTAGTGAGACAGTCAATAGTAAATAGCTTCAAACATGCTCGGGAGAAGCATAGATCTATACTCAGGCAAAAAAGTAAACAAAAAACAAAAACAACCCCCCCTCCAAAAAAAAACCCCAAAACAAAACAAAAAATGGCCAGACTCAATTGACCACTCTGTCTTCTTCTTTGCCGTCACTTTTCTACGTTTCTATGAATTGTCTGCTTGGTTTATAAAGCAAAACAATTGCAAATGTTTAGATAAAGATTTTTCACCAGTCATATTTTGTATCCCCACTTTATGTCTATCATTTGCTATAAGAGAAAGTATAACAGAGGTAAAGATAGTTACAAGCAAATATAACAGTATACTTGCTTACTTTAGAAACTGATAACAGTACTTTCAGAGTAGTCTTTAGTAAATGCTGCTTGGAAGCTCAACTCCTACCCTCTGAAACTCAACCTACATTCTGTATATCTCCAAAGTTCTGGGGTTGATTTATGAAAGGCAAATACACTGTGGACTTTGCAAGTGCAGTTGAACTCTGAAAAGGCATTTGCTCCAGAGCTTAGTAAATGAGGGGACGCTCTGCTGACTTCAAATCAGGGGCAAGCAAAAATGCAATTTTTTTTATTTTCCTTGCATGTGATTGAGTATTCTTTGCAAAGTGAAACTACACCTCTTTACTAGGCTCTGGAGCAAATACCCTTGCAGAGTGAAACTGCACTTGCAAAGTGCACGGTCTATTTGCCTTTAGTAAATCAACCCAAATTCTTTTTGGAATATAGAAATCAAACTTTCTGAAGGAATACGCTAGTGAGTCCTAGTCTTCTAGTCATGCTTCAATAAATATTTTTAGCTCACCTGTTTTACCCAGTAAATCATTGGCTGCAGAATTTTCCCAAGAACCTACAATACAAACTGAGCATATATATTATAAATTAAATATTTATAAAAGTGATCTAGCACAGAGTAATGAACACCAATAAATGCAACAAATTTAGGAGAATATTTAATAGAAAGCAGTATAGATAAGTTATAATGAAGTACACATTAAAGAACAAGAATTCCTGCATTAGACAACATTATTGTTAGGCAAAATTGCTTTAACATGGTAAACAGAAAGTAGTAGAGGAATGCACAGGTCTTGACAGAAGTATATGTTCAAACAAGAGGACCTTATTCTGTCCAACATGTCGGTGGATCGCAATCCATCTTTTATCATGGCAATAAGGCAAATTAATGTGCATACATATAATACCCCTAAATCCCAGTCCCAAAAGACCCAATAACTGGCATCACACAGGGATAGATATACTAAAACTGGAGCACTCAGAATCTAGTGCAGCTGTGCATAGTCACCAATGAGCTTCTAACGTCAGCTTGTTCAGTTAGGCTTTGGCAATAAAACCTGGAAGCCGACTGGTTTCTATGCAGTTGCACCAGATTTTGCACTCTCCAGTTTTAGTAAATAACCCCCTCAGTGTCATTAAAAAAGGTGTAGGCTGACGTAAGGTCAAAGAGCAGCACAAAAAATGAATCACCACAAATGGGCAAATGAGTTTCCACCTAAAGTGTAGACGAGGGATCATCATATCATCGTAATAAAGAAAATGTAAACGCTCACCTTGTAAAA